ATTTATATAAAAGAAATTAAAATTTTATGTGAACACACGTGAATGTTGTCCAATCATTGGACTCCAATGGTGAATGGGTATTTTGTTAAAGCCACTGGACGTTAATACTTACTACAATTGTAGTGGCTTAATAATAATTATAATTTATATATTGTCCAGGACTATTAATAATCAGTAACTTGTCAATTGAAAGAAGAAAAAGTTTCGTGATTATTGCTTATCTTTTTCAAACCAAATGGATGCTATTTTCAAAGACAGGAAAATTAACTACTAGATTTTTCACAAAAAGGTTGAACCTAACAGCAAATGATTTTTATTTTTTGTTTTTATTTAAGTTTGATAAATGCCCTTTTAGACACGAATTTAATTTAGGCACGAGCGAGCTTGCGAGCGAGTGCTTAAATTAATGAGTGTATAGAAAAGTTTATAAACGAGGTGCATACTATACTTTTTCTACGACAAATACTTTATATTATCTTAAAATGATTTAAATCAAAAATTTGTATAGAGCGCCATCTATAAAACAATAGGGGTATCTGTGTGTCACCGTCAAATGTCAAATTTTTATATTTTATAAACACAATTTTAAAGGTTATAAATCGAATTGTATTTCTTGAAAATTTACAGTTTTTCACAGTGAAAGTAAAGAAAATGTTTTATGAGCACTTTACAGTGGAGTCCGTGCCCGAATTTAAGTTATAGTTTACTGCCGGCGAAATTAAAAGGTCAGTACAATGTTCATATAAACTTTTCAAATATTGGCGTTAAGAAACTATTTAAAACTTTTGTATTTTTGAATTGAGATAATAAAATAATTTTCACATTTAGTATTATTTTATTTTAACGATTGTATGACATTTGACAACTGTCAACTAACTTAAAACTAACTTCAGCCCGTGACTAAAAACCTGTTGCTAAGTTCATCCCGTGACTAAAGCGCCATAAAGCCTCAACTTGTCAATGTGTATTTAAAAGGTCACTTAGTGTCATGGAAACATGTACGATAAAGGGCGTTTTAAAGGTGGGAGTAGAAAAAGTTATTTATAAATAACATTTTATTTTTTTGAAACCTAATAACAAATATAAAATTTAATTTTTAAACTTAAACTCAAAAACTAGGTACTTGTCAAAAACTTCCTTATACAGGGTGTTATGTAATTAATGTTATATATTAAAATGGGTTGTTCCTTAGGGTCCATAAATTTCTTCTTAGGAAGCACCTGAAACTTTTTTTTTCTAAATTCCAAAGTCTAAAAATAATTTATAATAACCTTTATCCTACCAAAAAGTACGCCACTGATCGACTAGGAACTTTAGGTTAATCTGGTGGATTTATTATGTTATGGTTGGTAACAACAGTTTTTCCAAAATCTCTCAAAAAAGTTGACAAACATTGTTTAAATTTATCTTAATTACAAAAATGACAAAATTAACAATGCAAATTGTCAATTTGGCGTTTTTATTAATTGTTGGTTATTTCATTTTTGTACTGAAGGTAAATTCAAACAAAATCTGTCAACTTTTATGACAGAATCTAGTGCATTTCTTTTAAATTTTAGGTAATGTTTTCAAATTGTAAATATCTTAACTAAGGGAAGTGCTTTTGGATTTATTTACACAAATTAAATGTTTAAAGTTTAACCTGTGAACTGGTCCCAATTTCATCTCAGTAAACAGAGAAAAAAACTAATGAAAAAAATAATTTTGTGGTTATGGATTTCAAATTTCAAAGGTACTAAATTTTCTAATCATTGCTTAAGCTAATAGCTGGATCAGTAAATAAATACAGAAGGGTATTGAGCTTTAAGGGCATAAAACTTTTGTATTTATTGAGTTTTTATTTATTTTTTGCAAGAAAAATTTTTAGTAACAATTTTTTACATCTGGCAACGCATAGCTACTTTGTTGGTTGGTATCTATGTACTCACAAAATACAGGTGTGCACAGATAAACAAGTGTGTAACCAGTGGCGTATCACAAAAAATATAAGAAACTTCTAATGCATATTTTTTCTTTATCTTTGGAAAAATGCTTTTTAAAATATTTTTTCATTATTTCTTATGTCAAAAGGTATTCAGTATTTTAATATATAACATTAATTACATAACACCCTGTACAATTAGGTACTTAAATACCATGGTATACCGCTATTTTCGGTACACCCTGTATATGCAAATTTTAAAATTGCGATTAGAGTAAGAATTTGTGAAATAAGCAATGCAAAAAGAATTATTTTATTTTTTTATCAAATTGAGGAAAATCTTTGCTTTAACTTTAAAAATTGTGTAAAGTTTATTTTGGCCAAAGTATTGTAAAATAGTTTTTTTGTTCTTTAAACAATACCTACCTTGTTGCTCTTGGTTTATGTAAAATTTTGACATGTCGAAATATGACATTATACAGTAAAAAAGTATTTGTTGGAAATTTGGAACTTTAATGAAAAGAATTTTAATAATAAATGTTAAATTAATCAATTTACTAAACAAATAAATAACACCTAACTACATTTATGTATGGGTGAATATATTTAGATGTCCCCCAAGTAAAAATGTGATTATTTTTTATTTTTGGTTGTTTCACTGTTAGTCTAGAATGTGGTTTTTGGGAAGCCACCAGGTCAATAATAACATAACATAAGTGGTTCTGCACTAATGCAAGAATTTTAAGAAATCATACATTTTGAATATTAGGGCTTCACGGAAGATAGCTTCATGGAGGTTAGGATTTCGTATATTTAAAAAAAATACAAATGTACATACATAAAATATAAAAAAAAATATTACACTTCACGGTGGATAGGTTTTTAAATGGCAAATTAATGAACTTAAACTTTTGAATTATAAAACAGCAACACTCTCATCTGCATATAACTTCTAACTGACCTTCAGGAATCACATGCATCTATAATGTCGTAAACAGAGGTTTTTGCTTATTTAAAATGATTAAAGGGCCATCCGTTGCATAAAATTTAGAGCAAAAACAGATTCACGGAGGATAGAATCAATTTTTGTAACACCTACATAAAAGGTTATAAAAATTATTTCTTTTAATTTTTAATAATATTTTATATTTGATTCGATTGCTTTGGATGTGTTTAATTTACTTGGTGAACTGATATTTTTAGTATGCTTTTACTAACTCAGATATTTGAAAACATATAGGTGACCCTGGAACCCAAAAAACACACAAACAATTAAATAACACACCATTCTGAAATCATCAAATTATAAAGAATTTTTTAACAATATTAATTAGTTAACAGATCTGATTTTTATAACATTGTATATATATATCCGCTATTTCGCTGTTTCCTTAAGTAACGAAACACCCCGTATATATAACCCAGAATATTGCGTACCCTGATTTGCATTTGCATACAATTTTAAATGTAATTATTTCGAACTTTCAATGTTAATTAACGACAAAATCACAATGAGTTTAGGATTTAGTTCACTAATGAATATCTCAGCCCTGTACTATTTCTGTATGTAAATTAATAAAGGATTTGCTATTGATTATCATGAATTATCGCAATTTTTTTGTTAAATATAAATTAAACACCAAAAGTACTTGGATAAAAAATACCCATACATACAGTAAACCCATTATAGAATTTTATGTTTTTTTCGTAAACCTTTCTTGAAGATCAGTTAATTTCCAACAAAAATTTAAACTACTTATTTTAAAACCCTAACTTTTCTGGGGGTGATAACATTTTGAAAAAAAAATATATTTTTTTAAAATATTAACATATCCTTTTGGTTTACGAAAAAATCATAGGATACCTATTTTATAGAGCATTGGATTCCCCATTAAAATGTTTATTAAATAATATAAATTGGACATAAAATACCATATTTAATTCTGAAACGCGAGATATATTTTAGGAAAATGAAAATTTTCGTTATACGAGGAAAATATCGGGAATTTTAGTTTTTTGAAACAAACATTTATTTATTCGTCTACATTAATGTTGTCGCCTTCAAAATAGTCCCCATTGGATATTATGCACATGTGCCAGCTCTTCTTCCAATACTCGAAACACTTCTAAAACTCGATCTTTGGGATAGCCTTTAGTTCTTTCAGCGATGCGCTTTTAATGTCATCTATGCTTGCAAAACGACGGCCCTTTAAGGTTCTCTTTATTTTTTGGAATAGGAAAAAGTCAGACAGAGGCATGCCTGGCGAATATGAAGGCTGGGGCATCATTACAGTATTGTTTTTGGACAATTTTTTTTTTCATAATTTAACAATTTTAGAACAAAGTTTGCTGCCACGCGTTTCATACCCAAAACATTCGAAAAAATTTCATGGGATGAGCCAATCGATATACCAACATCATCAGCGACTTCTCTGATGGTTTATAACCATTTCTTCCACTTTTTCCATGTTTTAATCGGTTGTTAATGTGCTTGTGCGTTCGGGGCGTTCGTCATCTTCAACGTCTTCACGGCCATCTTGGAAACTCTTATACCACTTGTAAACTCTTGTTTTACTTATAGCAGACTCACTATAGGCCTTTGTTAACATTTCACAGAATTTATTTCATTTTTTAAGCAAAATTGGATACAAATTTGATCCATTTCTTTTAACGAACGAAAAATCTCCGAGCTCATAAAACACGTCTAACCTTAGCGGCTGCCACAGACAAAGTAAACAATGAAAACAGCTAAAGTTTTTATCATACTTTGGGGTCATGTATATCAACATAATAAAGAAAATTTTATGACAACCGGACCCTCCGAACCCGCGAAATTTAACAATTCCCGTTATTTTCTGAACACACCTCGTATACAGTAGACTCTATTGAATTTGGAGGTCTTGCAACCCTAGTTGTAACCTTTACCAACGAAATGTAAATTCGGTAATTGTTAACACATTCATATATTCAGTTCACGATTACAAATGGCAACAATTATCCATTCATAGAAAATTTGCCTTAGTTATGAATTCATTAATTTGGAATAAGTATATTTACCCCATGAGGACAATAGCTAATCATCAGTCGCTGATTCTCCATCCAAGCCTGTGCAGTCGACAGTTTCGGTAAGAAAAAAATTGAGTTATAAAACATATTCATAGTTTATTTTTCCAATTGATAATAATATAAGAAGAGCAGAGTATCCACAAGCCTTTTTATTTTCTAAAAGTTGGTAATGCTGTAGGGTAAACCACATAGTTATTGGACACTTAAGGATTATTATTTATTTAAAATTTATGTATGCCGTTGTTTTAAAGATTTTAGTTTTTTCTTATAAATATATAAAAAGGATAGTTTGTTTGTTTAAACTTTATTTACGTTTACTTAAAAATAAGAATATTTGAATTTTTAATAATAGTTTTATAAAAACATGCAAAAAAGTATAGTAATTGGACATTTTATATAGTAAACATCTTTACATCAAATAACATAAATTGTTGAATATTTTTTAAAGATAAATTGCTGTTTTAGGTAATTTTTTTTATTTCGTTTTTGTAAATATCATATAATTCATATATTACTTTCTCGGATTCCTCATCCCTTTTCTGGATTCTGAAGGTAACTACTAATTCCTTGGTCTGACATCTAAAATAGTTTGTTGCAAATATCATGTTAGTGTGGTATCTCTAGTTTGTAAAGCATTTATAATGTTTAGGCCGGAACAGGATTATATATATCTAATATTTTTTCGGGTGGTATGTTAAAAGTATTTTCCGAATTTATTAATTTTGTTGCCATTAGTCTTTTATGTTCTCTATTATGCACTGTATTTAAATCACTGTTAATATGGAAGATGTCCTGTGACGAAGCAATCACTATATTATAATAGTATACTTACTCTCTAAAAATGAATTAGTCAAAAATGTCATAGCGAAAAAGCAGCCACTAATAATTCTCGTCAACAGCAATTTGTATCCAGGACATTTAGCAGTCAATTCCTATGAAATATTATTCGCTGAATCCAAAAATGTCGTTAAAAGTTATAAAAGTAGAACAGTTTTTGAAATATAATCAATTTTACATATAATATGGAATTGACTATATCTCAAAAACTGCTTTGACAATTTTACATAGGAATTGGCTGGTAAATATCCGGGATACAAATAGAGTATGATATTGGACATAATATGTCCAATGATTAAAATTTACATTTTTACCTAGCAGTAATTGGACACTGGCCATTTTACTGTTTGTTTTCAGAATTAAAATTAAAACGCATTAAAGTGACAATGTTTAAACCATGAGAAACACATTTATACCACACACTGATCTGTACACTTTTTAGAAATATTTTTTATTGTAATTTAAACACAGCCCTGCTCTTAACAATAAAACAAAAATCTTACCACCAAAGTAACGTGCGAACTTTTTTCTCCTATATTGGACCCAAAATAAAGTAAATTGTCCAATAACTATAGTGTCCGATAACGGTCTACTTTACTCTATATAAATAATACCAACCTTAACATTTGACATTCAAGAGTTACAAAAATATTATTAAAAAAAATATAACTCGCTTAAAGTTTTCCAATTTTGTGTTCCATCAATTAATTGAAACGTTTTTAATAAAATTAATTTGTGTGTAATCGACTCATTACAATTTAAATAATCACAAACCGTCCAATCAATTAATTTAATTATTTTAAAAAGTGTTAATCAAGGATTTATAATTAGATGGCTATTTAGTAATATAAAATAAATTAATATTTCGGTGCTAGAAAATGATGATTTATAAATATCAATAATATCGCCCAATGAAGAAAACATTTCACATACGAGGTGTGTTCAGAAAATATCGGGAATTTTCGTTTTTTGAAACAAATATTTATTTATTCGTCTACATTAATGTTGTCGCCTTCAAAATAGTCCCCATTGGATATTATGCACATGTGCCAGCTCTTCTTCCAATACTCGAAACACTTCTAAAACTCGATCTTTGGGATAGCCTTTAGTTCTTTCAGCGATGCGCTTTTAATGTCATATATGCTTGCAAAACGACGGCCCTTTAAGGTTCTTCTTATTTTTGGGAATAGGAAAAAGTCAGACAGAGGTATGTCTGGGGAATATGGAGTCTGGGGCATCATTACACTATTGTTTTGGCCAAAAATTTTGTTCAAAATTTAACAATTTTAGAACAAATTTTGCTGCCACGCGTTTCATACCCAAAACAATCGAAAAAATTTCATGGGATGAGCCAATCGATAAACCTACATTATCAGCGACTTCTCTGTTGGTTTATAACCATTTCTTCCACTTTTTCCATGTTTTTATCGGTTGTTAATGTGCTTGTGCGTTCGTGGCGTTCGTCATCTTCAACGTCTTCACCGCCATCTTGAAAACTCTTATACCGCTTGTAAACTCTTGTTTTACTTATAGCAGACTCACTATAGGCCTTTGTTAACATTTCACAGAATTTATTTCATTTTTTAAGCAAAATTGGATAGAAATTCTTTGATCCATTTCTTTTAACGGACGAAAAATCGCCGAGCTCATAAAACACGTCTAACCTTAGCGGCTGCCACAGACAAAGTAAACAATGAAAACAGCTAAAGTTTTTATCATACTTCGGGGGCATGTATACCAACATAATAAAGAAAATTTTATGACAACCGGACCCTCCGAACCCGCGAAATTTAACAATTCTCGTTATTTTCTGAACACACCTCGCATGTAGTTAAATTTAATAAAAAAAACAGTAAATAAATGTACATAACATAAGTTACTTCACTTCCTAATTTTAAAGTTCTCGAATTAGTTCGCTAATTCTAATAATATATTTTTAATTGTTTCATAAATTGATAACTAATCAGCCTATGGCCTAATATTTAATAATGTTGCTAAATAATAAATAATACCATTATGTTTAAAAATTATCAAACCTGTGATCTGCCACGCATGGTAGACTAAATGTTTATGGTTTGGTTTATTGAATGCAATTAAAACTAAAAATTGTTTTAAAGAAAAATGTTTAATGTAATTTATCTTCAATTGTTGTATTGATTATGGCCTAGGCACTAGAATATTTACGTCCCAGACAGTAAACATACATTATTTACTGCCTTGGACCAATTTGACTTCTGTCGGATCTATCTAACCTAACTTTCTACTTTTAATAACCAGGTTTAATGTAACGTTTAACAATTAAAATTGTAGCTTGAAGATAAAATGCTGTGTGTCATAAATATAACCAATGCATTAACGACTTTTTAAGTAAAAAAATGTTTCTTTTGTTAATTTTTAAAATTTGTTTATGATGTACTAAAGTTTTAGTGACTTAAACGCTAGAAAGTTTCTTTTCACCTGACCTTACGACTTATTTGTTTTTTGCAACATTCATTCAACAATAGCTGTTTAAAACATTTATGTAGAAAAGGAGAAATGTGTCCTAATATTGCACCCTTTTTTACAAAAACTTATAAAAAAAATACTATTCAAGTTTTTTTAACTAATTTGTAAACGATTAATAAAATAATATTATTTAACTTAAATTTAAAATTGATTTATCAAAAAAAAAATGTACCACCTAAGGTACCTTTTTTATTAATTTTTCAGTGTCTTATAATAAAATTCTCATTTACTATTATAAAGCAGCAATGTTGAGCTTTTATAAAAAAAATGTTCATCCAACAAGGTATAATTATAATAGTTGTTATCATATTGTCATGGCAATAAGAAATACTTTATGTTTATATTAAATCTTTGTCGAACTTAAAATGTTATTGTTAAATCTATAGTTGCGTGTAAATTGCGCTTACATAAAGTAATGCGCAGTTGTTATAGTAAAATTTGTTCATTTTACTATGGCATATTTGTCTTTTTTAAATTACTATCGTTGTAATTCAAATTAATTTTATTTCAGTTGGAAAATCTTTGTTAATAGCTTACGCTAAGAACAATAGCAAAAATATTTTATTGCTCTAAAAAGACTTTTTTAATATTTACTATTGTTTTGCAATGGTAACAAAATGTTTGTTATTTCCCTTAAAAAGAGGGGGAAAGGGCCAGCGCTCTCCTTGGTGAACATAACTTTATAATCCAGTCTGTGTTATAATATTATTGATTTCACTTGTGCGAGTGAAGTGTGGTAAAATCTAGCATGATAAAAATATCAAAAAGATCACTAAGAAAATTAAAATTTCGACGTTTTCTAAAAGAAATATTTAAGGTCTATTCTATACCTAACTAAGCAGACTTGTTTAAAAAGTGAGTTCGTATTTTTTTTTATTTTGTACATCATATAATATGACTCATATTATATGAGTATTTTTTTTGTTATAATAAATAATTTGTTTTAATGCCTTGCAATTATTAAAAAAAAAACTACCCAACACCCAACAGTAGGTTGAAAATGTGACCATTGTTACAATGAAAATTGTTTATTGAATTAGCAATTAATTTGTTGTTAAATTTAGATAAATTTTATTAATTTTATAAAAAAAGTTTTATTTTAAACGAAAAGGGATTTGTAAAATTTACAAAATTTCTATGAATAATACCATTAGGGTTTCATTAATACTACAAAACGTTTTTGTAAACGGTATAGAACTGTTTTTTGGACAAATAATAATAACTATATTTATCAATGCGTTTCTGCATCTGGAAGAGTGTTATTTTTATAGACATAACGTAAATTTACTTTATAATTAATGCAAATGCTATTACTGAAAGCAGCGTTTGTAGATAAATAATTTTTATAAAAATGATCTTTTTGCCTTAACAAAAGCAATTGTTGGACGAATAGGGATCTTTACTTTATTAAGACAAACTACTTTTTTTGTTATATTATACTTTCACTGTGAAAAACTGTTGTAAAAAAAGTTTAGTATGCAACTCGTTTGTAAACTTTTCTAGACACCTATTTAATTAAACACTCGCTCGTGCCTAATTAAAATATTTGACTGAAATTGATGCATATTATATCTATTTTTGTCGTGTAAGTTTTAATAGCCAAAATTGAAAGTGAACGAATATTTTGGTTAAAATTTCGCAAAACTAAATCTTCACGATTGGGTGCTCGACTGACCATTGTTTGAAGTGTTATGTGACATAAAAAAAACTGATGAATGCAACCGTAGTGGCTACATTAAATAACAAATAATTAATTTAGTGGGTATACCTAAATTGGATGCTATCTTTGTCATAGGCGTACAGTAAAAATATAAAAAATAAAAAAAAATGTTTATAATTTTTTTAAATTATTTATTGTATATAAACATTATTATTATGTTTTAAATTATTTTTAAAAGTCTCATCTTTACATTTATAAATTTAAAATATTTTACCACTATCATGTATTAAAAGATAAAATTTACACAAACTAACAGTTATTACAACAATATTATTTCCAACCAATTTTGCAAATATTTCTAGCTATCATTTTTTGTTATTATTATAAGTATAGCATTATATTAAATATAAAAAAAGCAAAATAATTAATTACAAAGAAGCGAAAAACTGAATAAAATATATATTATATCTAAATAGCCCATCGCAACATAAAAAATAAAGTCTTTATTCTAATTTATTTATTGGGTAAATATTACTTTCCTCAGTTTGGAATTAAAATTGAAGCTTGCTTATCGAGTAAAAAACAAATTGAAGCTTGGTTGTGGAGCAAAAAATAAAATTAAAGTATGTTATAATTTCTAACTTGCTGACACTGTCCATAATTATTATTTAGTTTATTCATTTTAATAAATTAATGTTTTGAGTTTATAGTAGGTACACTTATAAATTGAAACGCAATAATTGCAACTCATAAACTGAACTGTCAAATTATCTTTCATGCTTCCAATGGTAGCTTACCATAGAGAAAAGTCATTGATGCCTACTTTGATCAAAATTAGTAAACTTGAAAATTTTTTAAATTTATTAATAAAAGTAATTTTAGCTCCATAATACATTATCTTATAAAACTAGATAATATAATATACTTTGTAAAACACGTTAATATTATGCCTTTTGAAGGCCTAATTTAAAAATGATGTCTCTCGTAGAAACGTAATTTGCATGTAGAAGTTTATATATCAAATAATAGTTAATTATCAGTACTTTAACGTGATATACTCAAAATTATAAAACAACGTTGCTTCTTCTAGTTTTTAACCCTTAAAAAATGGCAAAATTTTAAATTAAATTGTCCCCAGCGCCCCCTGTATGTTAAAATCTAAAAAATAATACGTGGATTTATTGCCACTAATAAGGTCTACATTTGATCTTAATTTCAAATCGATACGTTTTTAAATATCAATGTTATTACAAAATATTGAAATTTATCTATTTTTAACACAGTAGAGTAGAGTGACTTAAGGCCTGAAAACCACGGCGGTCAATGGATGAAATTTTTTTTTTGGAAAAAATGCACCATTTAGATGTAGAAACAAGGTTAAAAAAATATATTCAATTCTGGCATCACTTGCAAACAAATGTCCAAAACTTTAATCTTCAAACTATTATCTAATAAAGAAAATGTATTATGTAAAATAAATCTTTAGGATAATGTAAATTCAATATAATAAGAAAAAAGTACCTAACCTTTTTTTAATTAGTATCTGCATTTCTTTTCTGAATTCTACACCACTGCGTTAGCTTAATTACATCTTCATTAAACTCTAATTTTAGGGATACTTTCTCACAAATATTTCCCCTTCTATAGGTAATCTAGTCTGGACAATTTGGCGGATAATTTTTAAAGGGGGGGATCCTAAACTTTATTGAACGACATATAATAAATAAACTTTGTTTACTTTTTGCTTTACTTATCATACGTAGTGCAAGTGTACATACTTTTTTTTTCTTTCAAGATTATGTCTGTGGATAACGTGAAACCAAGTGATGACATGAACACCCCGCCAGTTGGTTATGCCGGGAAATTGCCAGCGGAAGTCGGAACAGATCACACCTTTAAAAGAAAAATCGTCTGGAAAAACGCCATCGGTTTTCTTCTATTGCATCTGTTTGGATTCTACGGCTTCTATTTGATTTTCAACGGCGCCAAAGTGGCTACATCGGTGTTCAGTAAGTACAATTGTGTATCAAAAATCTTTAAAAAAAAATCTGTTTGAATTAAAATATCTTTTTACGACCACTGAAGCATTTATAATGGTCAAAACTAAAGTATGGGACGAACTAAAATGCCAACCAAAACTGATAGCATAATCTGATTATAGACTCTTTTGGTAACACAAAAATGTATTTATCAAAATCCTTTATTAAAGTTACTCTAGTAACATTATCAAATGTTTTTAAAAATTTGGCAGATACATACATGACTGAAATATGGATAAATTACATTATAAATACAAAATAATATAAAATACAGTTTGCAATATCTTATTTATTGTTTTAAGGTACCTAATACAAAACTAATAAACAAATAAAGATTCTTTGAAGCAAAATCGATTACTGCTTGCCTCAAATTTTCAGTAAAACTTTTTCTTGGGTTTTACATGGAATTGTTTTTAACATGGAAACAGTATTTTTAAATTCTTCGGTCTCTGTACAAACATGCTTCTTACATCTAGCGATATCCCCTAGAAAGGAAGAGCATATCAAAACTTTAGTTCGTTCGTCCGTCCTCTTCCCTTAATAATTTTTTATGCCCTTTATATCTTGTCATTTTGCAGATAAAGCAAATACATTCTTGGCTGCCGCGAAATTCTCTAGCAATTTCTAAATTTTGAAAATTTGGCAATTGTGGCTATGCAAAAATACCGTTTTTACCATATTAAAGTAGGTAATTTTGAATCAGTTGAAGTTAAAGTTTTCGTTTGAAAAAGTCTGCAGCAATTTTTGTATTTTCTCAGAAACCCTAAACTCTGAATTTTTCGATTACCAAAAAGAATTTTGTCTCCACAGCCAGCACATACCTTCTTTCGATTTTCTTCATGGCTTAACTTAAATTTCGGTTTAATTTTTATTTTAAAATACTATTTTTAACTTTATAAAGTATACATTAAATAAACAACTAAAGCAAAATGTCACTTGTAACGTATAGCATTTTTTTCATAACCACCTTAATTATTGTTTTACAAAATTTGCAAGTTGTAATTATTTCATAGACAAACTTCCAGTATTTTTTGTTATAAAAAATATTTAAGATATAAATCTTCGTTTTTTTGTTATGTTTTGTTTTGAGTGGTAAACAATAATAGGTGACTCAATAAATTAATACTGGGGAGTAAAGTAATTTAAATGATACAAAGTTTATTATTTTGCTTAATTTTGTTAAAATTGTACAGGTGGTTTTAGTACAATAATTGCAAAATAATATATAGAAATAGAAAAACAAAAAGTTTGCAAAACTTTAAAATAGGATCAGCTGGGATTTTGATAAATACATGTTTGTGTTACCAAAAGGGCCTATAATCAAAATATGCTATCAGTTTTGGTTGGCATTTTTGTTCGTCCTATACTTAAGTTTTGACCACCGTCTTTACCCTAACATTAAATAATATTAATCATTTTTTTTATATTTCAGTGTTTTCAGTGGCGGCGTTATCCGGCGAAGGCATAACTGTCGGAGCACACAGACTTTATTCGCACAAGTCATTCAAAGCGACTTTTCCCTTAAAGTGTATTCTTATGGCAGCACAAACTATAGCTGGACAGGTAATGTACTCAAAATTTTATTTCTACTTCCATCTTTAAAACGTCCATTATCGTACATGTTTCCATGACTAAACGATCTTTTAAATACACTTTGACAAGCTGCAGTCTTAAGTTGGTTGACTTTTTTCAAATGCCATGGCATGCATTCATTCGTTAAAAGAATGTGTCTTTTTTGTAAAAAAAATAATTAAAATTTGCTGCAATCCTAAGCCACGGGTTCTAAGGGTCCGGTTGTCATACAATTTTCTTTATTATGTTGGTATACATGCCCCCGAAGTATGATAAAAACTTTAGCTGTTTTCATTGTTTACTTTGTCTGTGGCAGCCGCTAAGGTTAGACGTGTTTTATGAGCTCGGCGATTTTCGTTCGTTAAAAGAAATGGATCAAAGAATTTGTATCCAATTTTGCTTAAAAAATGAAATAAATTCTGTGAAATGTTAACAAAGGCCTATAGTGAGTCTGCTATAAGTAAAAAAAGAGTTTACAAGTGGTATAAGAGTTTCCAAGATGGCCGTGAAGACGTTGAAAATGACGAACGCCCCGAACGCACAAGCACATTAACAACCGATAAAAACATGAAAAAAGTGGAAGAAATGGTTATAAACCATCAGAGAAGTCGCTGATGATGTTGGTATATCGATTGGCTCATCCCATGAAATTTTTTCGAATGTTTTGGGTATGAAACGCGTGGCAGCAAAATTTGTTCCAAAATTTTTAAATTTTGAACAAAACAATACTGTAATGATGCCTTAGCCTCCATATTCGCTAGACATGCCTCTGTCTGACTTTTTCCTATTCCCAAAAATAAAGAGAACCTTAAAGGGCCGTCGTTTTGCAAGCATAGATGACATTAAAAGCGCATCGCTGAAAGAACTAAAGGCTATCCCAAAGATCGAGTTTTAGAAGTGTTTCGAGTATTGGAAGAAGAGCTGGCACATGTGCATAATATCCAATGGGGACTTTTTTGAAGGCGACAACATGTAGACGAATAAATAAATATTTGTTTCAAAAAACGAAAATTCCCGATATTTTCTGAACACACCTCGTATATCATTTACATTCATACATCAAAGAGTAAAAGTGAAAACCATGGATTGTTTTAAAATAGTACAAAATAAAATTTTACTGTTTACCTATCTTATTTTTAGTTAAAAAAAGCATTACTAATATCTGCTAATTTGCTTTCCTACCAGTGCCAATGTAATCATGATTATGTGTAAAGTTTAACAAAATAAATTAATATTTGCAACCAGTAGCGTATCAATTAAAATCGACATTAAAAATGTTATTTTATGGAGCATCTGGGTAAATATATTGAGATACAAAATGGTTATAATTTTTAATTTTTAATACTATTTTATATTTGAATCGATAGCTTTGGATGTGTTTAATTTACTTAGTGAACTGATATTTTTAGTATGCTTTTACTACCTCAGATATTTGAAAACATATAGGTTAAACTAGAAAGAGTAACAGTCACGGAGGATAGGTTTTAGTTTTTTAAAACATTGTAAAATATAATTAATTGCGGTTAAAAATCTTGAAGCTGAGCTGTAATATCTACTTAATTATGAAAGATCAAAACACAATAAAAGTGTAGGTCAAACTCATTTAGTTTTATTAAATATCAAGGGGTAACACCATTGGGGGACATTTCGTGAGTAACCAAAAAATTTGTCATCCTTTAATGACTAAAAATGAAAAATGTAATTTCTGTTAATTTCCTATGTTATTTTAATAAAAAAAAACATAGGCCACTTTATTGTTACACCACTGGATCAGTTGCAGGTTGCACAAATTGAGATCGTTTAAATAGCATCTGGTCAAAAAACTCTTGCAAAATATGTTTAAATTTTGACACCTAGGTAAACAAATAAAATTAAACTTATGAGAAATTTCTATTAGCTCAAACAATCGAAATATCATTTTTTTACAGCGTTGTTTAAAAGTTTCGCTTGAAAAAGCAATTTAAATTAAATTTGATTGTTTTTGTTTTGTATGAGTGATTGTCAATTTGTTTAGGTTCGTTTTATTATGAAGCATATATGCTTTTATTACATTTCAATTTCAAGCAGCCGAATTAAGATACACAGTAAAAAGTGGCATTTGCTGTTTTAAACAAATTATCTTGACAGTTTGTTTTTGTATTTGCAATCCCTGCTTAAAATACCCCATAGAGACCCTGTTCAAACCGATAGATATTTGTATCGGAATGTATGGTGTTTCTATAGGGTGTATCGGTATGTATAGGACCCATAGTTGGGATTTATGGTTGTTCTATAGGGATATCCACCCTTGATTTATTTGCTATTGGTTTCAATGGGGAAAATACACATAAATGTAGAAATTACTTTTTTCCCCATTGGTCCCTATAGGTTTTAATAAAATTTTGTCAAATGTTTTATGGTTGCTCTATAGGGATATACCCATATATCCTTCATTGAGTTATTTTCTATCGGTCTCAATAGGGAAAATGTAAATGGTATGGTGTGCCTATGGGTAATTACCTATACATTTTTTATCGGGCCGTATCCGGAAAAAACCGTGGACAAATGCACATATTGAATCCGGTAGCGCCCGATAGATTATTTTGTATAGGTCTCTATGGTGTATTTTAAGCAGGGATATACATTCAGCCAGATCACTTGAGTACAGATTTTGAAGACTAATTAACTTAAAAGTTAAAAGTTTTTTTTGTCGCTCATTATAAATTGGAACGTTTTCTTTCAAAATTCATCAGATTTAATGCGAAAAGAATATGTTTATTTTTTCACTCTCAGTATCGCTTGTATTATTTCAGAATTGCATGTACATTTGGGTCAGAGATCACAGGCTGCATCACAAATACAGCGACACAGATGCTGACCCCCACAACGCAAACCGCGGCTTCTTCTTCTCCCACATGGGATGGCTGATGAGCAAAAAACACCCAGCTGTCATCGAGAAAGGAAAACTAATCGATATGTCCGATTTGGAAGCCGACCCACTGATCATGTTTCAGAAAAAGTAAGCTTAGATTTTAACACAATTAATGTTGCTGAATAGGGTAAACCACCCCTGATAGCAAAATTTTATTTTAAGAATCTTCTAAGAAGATATGACCCGGAATAATGGAATATTCTTAGAAACTTCCCTTATTGCTAAGAATGTTCTTAGGGACTTTTAAAACATTCAATAGATACCCTTTTAATGATGCAATTAGGTTCTTAAAAGCTTCTAAAAATCTTCCTAAAAAGCATCCCAAGAACATTTTAAGAATGCATTTTTGGAATGTTCTTAGAAGGTTTCTTATGGAACTTCTAGGAAGCTTTTGAGAATATTCCCAAATATGTCAGATACCCACGTTCTAATATGTTGTATTCTACTTTCGTAAAATTCTTCAGGAGACGACAAATACGCCTCACTGTCATAATATGATAGTGAAATGTATTTGTTGTCCCCTTAAATTTTGCGACATATTAATATAATATAATATATTATATTTATTTAAAAATATTAAATAAACAATTTGACCTCTAAACCATAAGTTGTATGACATTATTTCATAAAAAGTAAAATTGGAAAATTTTGTGGGTTAAGTCAGATTAGATTGAAGTTGAAGATAGCTTATTATACCTAAAAATGTTAATTCAGAAATAAAAAATCGGTATACAAATTAATAAATATTTATTTTTAACATAAAATAAAACATTTATAGTAAAAGTATTTTTGTTATCGAATATTGTTTTAATTTGACAAATAACTATAAAAAAATATTTTGGATTGTGTTACTAATTAGGTACTTAAGTATGGGTATAAGTATATTTTACTATTATATAGGTAACTGAATTAAATATGCTTAACAGGAATATTCCAGGAATATTCCTAAATGAACTTTTTATAGCAATTACTTTCTTAACATTCTAAGCATGTGTTTAGAGTAGACTAATTTTTACCACTAAAACTTTGCACCTTCTAAGAACCTGCCTATAGGCCAGTGAGAATATTCTTAGGATTATGCTTGATTTCTTTTAAGCATGTTCTTTAGAAGAAATATAGCATGATCCTAAAATATTCTCACTGGAAGGTTTAAAAAACATTCTTATAATAAAGTGTGCTATCAGGGTACTTACTCTCTAAAAATTAATGTCACAGCGAAAAAGCAGCCACTAATAATTTTCGTCAACAGCAATTTGTATCCAGGACATTTAGCAGTCAGTTCCTATGAAATATTTTTCGCTGAATCCGAAAATGTCGTCAAAAGTTATAAAAGGTGTTGAAATATAATCAATTTTACATATAATATGGAATTGCCCTGGCGAAAATGAAATGTGCAAAAAGTGTACAAAATTATTTGAGAACAATGTGCCAACAATGTGCAATCTTTTAAAAAAATTATGTGCGGATTGTGGGAAATGGAACATGAAACAATGTGCAAAACCAAAAATTTTAAAGTGTGAATAATCACTGGACAATGTTCTAAACTTTAGAATCTAAAGGGAACTCCTTTTGATTTTTCACATTGTTTGCACACTGTTTCTTGCCACCTGTGTGCCTATTACAAAAACTGATTCTTTTTGGTGACCTATAAAGTCTTTTAAATTTACACTTAATTGAAAAATAAATATCCTTATAATAGTATTAATCAAATAAATATTTTTTTCAAAAAAATTAAAAAAAAATACCCACAATGTAGGTCCTACATACTGTATTTTATTAAGAAAAATACCTGCACTGATCTTAGCAATAGGCCGAGAAGCGATACATAAGATGGAATCTACCTCACCTTTTAAATAAATGTTGTACCCCAACTCAAGCGAGATATATCTAAAATGTGCTTAAACTGTTGAGTGATCGCAAAAACTGTACAAACAATGTGCTATAAAAAGGTGTAATAAAAGCGTCATAAATGAGAAATATTAAAGCGTGCTAACAGTGTGTATAAAATGTGACTTGCGTAAGATAGACTGAAGCTTTGCAAAATGTCTTTAAACAATGTACTAACACTGTGCAAACAATGTGCTAAAATATAATGTAGTGAACAAACTTAATTATTTCAAAAAGTGTGAAATTACCACAAAGTAGCGTGTATGCACATTGTTATAAAGACTTGTACTCCAAATACACACTTATTGCACACTTTTCATGCACGCTTTATTTTCGCCAGGGTGACTATATCTCAAAAACTACTTGACGTTTATAGTTTTTGACGGTCTTTTCGGATTCAGGGGACAATTTTACATAGGAAGAATTGTCCGGGATATAAATAGAGTATGATATTGTAATAATAATAGAAATTTACATTTTTTATAAATAAATTACCCTATCAAATATTTGTTTAACATTAACAATATTATTATGAATTCAGATACTACAAGCCATTGTACTTCATCTTTGCGATGGTATTCCCAATTGGCACTCCCATCTTGCTATGGAATGAAACTCTGTACAACTCTTTCGTCATCAATTTCTTCAGCAGATATGTCTTCATCCTGCACATCACTTGGTCAGTAAACAGTCTCGCGCATTTCTTCGGGACAAAGCCCTTCGATCAATTCATGCTTCCGGTGGAAAGTTGGCTGGTGTCTTTTCTCACTTTCGGAGAAGGATGGCACAACTACCATCATGCATTCCCATGGGACTACAGGGCGTCAGAGATAGGGGCCAAATTCAGCATCACCACCAAAGTGATAGAGTTCTGCGAACGCATAGGATGGGCCTACGACCTGAAAACAGCTCCTTACAGCATGGTGGAGCAGAGGTCCATCAGAACAGGCGATGGGAGCCACCCAATGTTCAGCAAAAAGACCAAAGACTTGCCTGTGGATGAGTACAACCTCAAAAAGGTTAAACCTGATGTTCGTCAGAGAACCGCAGCTTTGGGTTAACATTTCATTGTATCGCCTTCCACTTACCACTCAAAATAATTATAATAATCATTCTCTCAGTCATATTTATTTTTGCCAATAGTATTATAAAAAGTACATGAACAATGTTCATTGAACATGATTCACACATAAAATAGTATAGTGGTGGGCCTATACAAAGTAGTGTTATAGAGATATCTGCTCAAAAAACATATTATATTCATGAGGCTGATATTAGACTGCCGTTCATTTGTTAAGAGTTGTGATAGCATCCAGGGTCGACGATGTTGTATATAGTTCGTGCTTTGTTTGTAAATAGATTAGTTATAGTATTATATATTTATATATCTTATATATTTATGTATAATATATCTACATTATATCATAATGTAATGATTTAAAGGTTTATTATATTTTTTTAATAAATATATCGATATATTGCTTAATAGATGTTTTTATTTAAATCCTACATCTTTTTAGACAGTCCATGAACGTTATTTTAACTATGATTTCGCGTAAAAATCGAACAAATTTTGGACATTTGTTTGCAAGTTATGCCAGAATTGAATATATTTTTTAACCTTGTTTCTCCATTTAAAATCACTTTTATTTAAAAAATTATTGAATTTTTTTCAAGTTTATTTAGATATGGGTGATTCATCAGTCAATAGAGTAGGTATTTTAATATTTTTTGTAAATATTTTAGTATATTACAAAAGATACAGGTTTTTTTACCTTGTCCACCCAATATTAATGTATTTTTTTAAAAGCACGTTTGTATAAAAACATAATAAATATTCAAAACATCAGTACCTTGGCGTGTCACAACTCCTGAATCAAATATTTGAGTGATTTTATTTTAAAACATATTCAATTTATCTTAAATCCCAGCAAACAGAACCACGTTTTAATCACGTTTTTTTTTCGTCCCATTTCGCCGAAAAGACGTCTTTTTAGGACGTAAATATCACGTCACTATGACGTTCAAATGGCACTCTTCTGAGACGTCTTTTAATTACGTAATATACTCGTCTTTTAACTACGTAATATACCTGTGTCTTGGTATCGTATTATTTACGTATAAAGGTAACATGCAAATAAAAGTATATACCATGAAAGAAAAATTTATTTTATCACATTTAACAAACATAATACAACAAAAAACAGTCTTTATAAAATTATTAAAACATTCTTAAATATATAAATTTTTTTTAAACATAAACAGATAATTTTAGCTAACAGTCTAGGCTGTTCGAAAACAATTTTGTAAATGATGAAAAAGAGACAATGTGAAAGTTACAGCTCTTAATATTAATATTAAGAGGTGCCGCATCGCAAATTTCAATTTCCCATTTGATTAACAGGGAAAACTTTGGATTTTTTGAACTCATTAATGGATAGTCACATTCATAAGGCCGTAGCATATCCTTGTAGGGAATTAAACGCTGTACAAAAAAGGACTCTAGAATTAATAATTAATTATTACATAAAGTTATTGTTGACTGCAACAAGCTGATACCGATCTATTCATAGATTGATCAGTGCTCTAACATAAATTCTACCATTAAAAAACAATTCTACTTACCAGTTTCAAAAAACAATCTTTTGACCGCACAAGTTTTCCAATTGGCGCCTGTTTTCTCCTGTTTTTGAAGTGCTAAATTGTATTTATGTTGTTGTTTATATGGTGGCCATTGTACATGTTTTTTTCTCGGAGTCAGCCATCTATTGCATACAACAGCTACTCCTTCATCGTTTTCAAATTCAATGCCAACAAACATGTTAACTATAGCTATTTAACTAGAAAAGGCACTATAAAACACATCACTCTCAAAAAAGAAATACAAACCATTTAAATAATGCCCACAAAACACAATATATATCAATAGTATTGATTCAATACTCAATAGCAATAGACCAAAACAACGCTAGGCTGGCAACATAAATAATAGGACCACGCCGAGATAAAGAAGCCGCCTACTTGGCCTACTCGGCGCGCGGTTTTACAGCCCGCGAAATTTGAAAATATCATTTTTAAAATACTTGGTTTCCATTAAAAAAAGTGAAAAAAAATATACAATTAAAAAATATAAATGTATTGATAAATATAAGGGTTTAATTTTAAAATCAATAAATAAAACAAAAGATTTTTTAATAAACTTATAAAAAAAAATGTATTGCAAAGTACCTAACAATTAATAAATCTTTTGTTTTATTTATTGATTTTATAATTATAAAATTGTAAATTTATAATATTACAATAAATACAACATCAAAATAAGGGTTTATTGCAAAAATTGTTAAGTTATTTAAAATTTAAAATAAACACATAAAACAGATGATATAATAAAATTATTAATAATAACCGTTTTTAAGCAATACTTAATTATTTATATTGTTTGTTTGTTTATTTAAAGTGATCATAAATAGAATACGTACCGTGCCTAAAAAAATGGATTAATATGGACATGTTATTCAAGGAGAAAAAACGTGTTTTTGAAGTAAAAAAACATTTTTTTTATTGCTGCAACAAGAATATAATTGTTGTAATACAATATAATTGTTAAAATACAATATAGTGATTATTATTAAGCGAAAACTAATTAAATTATGCTTGTTTAGTACGTCAAGAAAACACGTAATAGTTACGTAAAATAGTATACGTGATTTGACCACCTAAAATCAACGTGTTAATCACGTACTCGTCGCGGATCTGTTTGCTGGGATTTTTCAATTTAACTACAAACTATAAAACATTAAATAATGTATTTTTCATATTTTATCATAGATTCGAATAATAGCGATTTTTAAAATTGTTAATCTTTGTACTCACTTTTACCCGTCAGTTCTGTGTCCAATGTTAAAATTCAAAATTCCTGCGAAATATTGAAGTTTAAACGTCAAGTCCTCTTTTTAACTCAAGTGTTGGTAAAAAATTACCTACAGAGCCCGCTCTTTGCACGACATTCATCTTGAAAACAATGCAAGCGGCGAAGTTGTGGTAAATGCACGTTTAGTTCCAGTCAAAATTTCAGTACTGTGGTGAGTAGTTATTTTCTTACTTATATACATATATTTCATTGTAATTTATATAAGGCTATATGTGATTTGTTGATAAGTAGCATCCACTAAAAAAAAATTTCAGTAAAATACTTAATTCCGAATTATAATCTCAAATTGGTATCCCATTCATCAGTACCGTGTCGTCAGTTCCATGTTCGATGTTTCGGTTATCTTTTTTCGCAAATTTCAATTTAAATTCTGCTAGCGCAGAACTTGTTTATTTAATGTCATTATAAACTCATACAAATTTGGCGTGGGTCCCATAACTAATAGTTGAGATATCGGTGTACCCAAAATCAACCAGCCGCCACTGATGTGTGGTATTATTTGATTTTAAGATATTTAATGTATATATACATTAAATATTATAATATGCTCAAAGTTGCAATAAATCTTATATTTTCCAATAAATTATGTATTTAAATAGTACCCTGGTATACTCGTCACTTCCCTTGCATTCAAATTTAGAAAACACAGATATTTCAGAAACTGTTTGAAAAAGTGACTGGCCTTGTCTGGAACAAAATGCTGTTTAATTTTGTCCGAAAACTATTTAAACAAAATGAGGTCAAAAGTTGCCCAACTTTTGTAGAATTACCCATATATGTATATTTTTTATTCAGTTGTTTTTCGCTTTTTTGTAATTAGTTATTTTGCTTTTGTTTCTAGAGAAACGCAAACGATATGGATTTAAAACTTTAATGGCGTATACAATTTGATTTAGACTATACCTAAAGTCAATAGTTTTGAAGATATTAATTTTTTTCGTTAAAATATTGCTGAATGCAAGTTAACCAAAAATAGCCATAGCAATATGCTATACTTAATTATTAATAAAAGATACAACAATACTTATTTGTATAAAAATGACAAAATGTACTAAACTAAACATTTATGAATACTGCTACTGCTAATTCAAAACTGATCCTGGCCACAGAAACATCATTTGCATAAAAAAGTTTATATATCAAATAATAGTCAAATATCAATACTTTAACGTGTTATACTCAAATTTATAAAACAAAGTTGCTTCTTCGATTATTTACCCTTTAAAAATTGTTAAATTTTAAATTAAATTATCACCTGAGCCCCCTGACGTTAAAATCTAAATAAAAAAGTTAATGAAAAAATGAAATTTCTTTATTTTTAACACAGCGAAGAAAAAAAAATAAAAGCAAAGTTGTCAATGCACGAGATTTTTTTTTGAAATTAGTAGTTAGAGGTATCAGTTTAATTGTATGTGTAATTTGAGTTGCCTATGTTCTTAAGAACGTAAATATAAAAATAAATAGTTGGAATACTACTTTTCTGGTCAAAACTTATTTGTAACCTTAATAATTGACCAAAAGCCTTGTTTTTTTATTTTATTTTGAAATAAATGTTCTACAAAAAAAGTGTTTTATTTTTTTTTCGTAAAAATATCCATTTAAAAGATATCTTAGTTCTTAAACAAAATATATATTATTCAAAATTTTATAACTCACAGAATAGTTAGAATTTTGAAATACGTAGAGCATATTTTTGTTGGAAATTAACTGATATACAAAAAAGTTTTGTTTAATATAACGTACGAGGTGTGTTCAGAAAATATCGGGAATTTTCGTTTTTTGAAACAAATATTTATTTATTCGTCTACATTAATGTTGTCGCCTTCAAAATAGTCCCCATTGCATATTATACACATGTGCCAGCTCTTCTTCCAATACTCGAAACACTTCTAAAACTCGATCTTTGGGATAGCCTTTAGTTCTTTCAGCGATGCGCTTTTAATGTCATCTATGCTTGCAAAACGACGGCCCTTTAAGGTTCTCTTTATTTTTGGAAATAGGAAAAAGTCAGACAGAGGCATGTCTGGCGAATATGGAGGCTGGGGCATCATTACAGTATTGTTTTTGGCCAAAAATTTGGTTCAAAATTTAACAATTTTGAAACAAATTTTGCTGCCACGCGTTTCATACCCAAAACATTCGAAAAAACTTCATGGGAAGAGTCAATCGATATACCAACATCATCAGCGACTTCTCTGATGGTTTATAACCATTTCTTCCACTTTTTCCATGTTTTTATCGGTTGTTAATGTGCTTGTGCGTTCGGGGCGTTCGTCATCTTCAACGTCATCACGGCCATCGTGGAAACTCTTGTTTTACTTATAGCAGACTCACTATAGGCCTTTGTTAACATTTCACAGAATTTATTTAATTTTTTAAGCAAAATTGCATACAAATTCTTTGATCCATTTCTTTTAACGAACGAAAAATCGCCGAGCTCATAAAACACGTCTAACCTTAGCGGCTGCCACAGACAAAGTAAACGATGAAAACAGCTAAAGTTTTTATCATACTTCGGGGGAATGTATAC